AAACACACAACATTTACCAGAGAGCTTCTCTCTTTTTTAACACACTGAATGGTGATACACTATATATCTCGTTTTTGTTTTTAGTTGACATCCAAGCAAAAGAGAATGACTCCCTGTCACAATTAGAGTAATTAAAGTAAAAAATTGTCAAGCTTTTCTTGTTTTTTTTTTGTTTTTTTTTCTCTCTTATTTGGCAGATGCTGTGATGACCAACTTCCTGGCAGCAACAGAGTTGGACTTGAGGAATGCAGTTGGGAAGCATTTTAAACAAGAAATAAAACCAATAATTAATAATTTCCTTTAAGTTCACTGTTGGGTGTTTTATTTGTTAAAAGTAAACCAACAAAAGGGTTCATCTTTTTTTATGTCTGTCTGAAATATTTTTATTATCTTAAGTTGTTAAAAATTCCTGATTTTTTATCATAATATTTAAGTGTATTGTATTTATACAATTTTATTTTGTCATTAATTCTTTTGCATTTTTATCATTTTGTATTGTCTTAAGTTGTCCAAGTTGTTAAAAATTTTATTTTTCTTAATAAAAGCTCTATGTATGGATTGCCATTTTGTTGTCTATTAGATGTATATATATGTAGTCGTCTAATAGCGGTCTATTTGATGACTAGTCTATTCTTGGGCTATGATTAGACTTCTATTAGATTTTCACTGACAGCCCAAATTTAGCCTTGTTTTAGCCTAGACCCATATTCACCGTCTATTAGACGTATATATGTAGTCGTTTAATGGCGGTCTAATTGATGACTAGTCTATAAATGGGCTATGACCAGACGTCTATTAGATTTTCACTGACAGCCCAAATTTAGTCTCGTTTTAGCCTAGACCCATATTCACCGTCTATTCATATACAATCGTTTGAGCGGAGAGTGCAAGGAGAGTGCAAGCTAAAGTGCACTTTGCAGGACATGGAGGCGCCAGCGCGATCGCGTGCATGTTTTTTCAGTGGATACGCCATCATTTTTGCTCGTAAGGGTAATACATCATTCGTAACTGTGAAGGGTCTACTTTTTTTGTGTGCACTCACAATATCAACAAAACGTGTTTTTATAAAATAAAACAAACGATGCACTTTCTGCCTTCTCGTCTTGAACAGGAGTGCTTCACAAAAATGAACCGAAATTCAGTGAATACAGACATGATAAATATATCTATAGAAAGCTTTAAATTACTACTTAACGAAATAAAACAAATCAAACAAATCTATTCTTTAATTATAATCATAATCCGTAAAGATGCACTACTCTCTAAAGGCGCGTCTAATGAGGAGATGGCGAGTCAGGATCGACAACTTCATCCTTGCGACACCGACTCAGAAAACACTAGTACATAATTCAAATATCTCCTTACTGTTTCCCCCTGACACATTTATGGTAATTACTTTTGCAGATGCCTTGCGGCAAGCTTAAGGCTATTGCGTGCATTTGAACGCAGATTTCTTCAGCTGCGGGACACCAAACACCGTCGAGCTGCTCTTGACAGTCGCGGTAGCACGGTCTCATGTTGTTTCCACCAGCGTAGCAATTTTTTCAACACTAATTGATGAAATACAAAAATAAGGAGAAGCCTAAAACAGGCCCGCGTCTGAACTGTGACGTGAAAATTGGCCCGAAGCCCGGCCCGAGGGTCGTAAAAAAAGTCGGGGCCCGTTGGGCCCGGGCTGAAATACAGGGCTCTAGTTCGGCTGCATCCGAAATAAGTTTCTCAGTTATGAGGAGAATAAGAAACTGGCTCTGATCTAGCACACACAGAACAATTTGACTGAAAATTTATCAGAAGGGATGAAAGAAAGATAGCGGTCATCTACGCAATTCAGAAAAATAGCTTTTCTGCATTGTTTTTTTTTTTTACTCTTTGTACAGCAGTTATTGTTCATTCTAAATGTATTTTTAATGTAGAATATGTGTTACATAAATACATGAAATGTAGAACATATAAAAAAGTGCTCGTGGTTCGTCTGCCAGTGGGTGGGTAAAAGTGAAACTCCGCCTATGGACTGAGGTGAGACCCTTGAGCAAGGCACCGAACCCCCAACTGCTCCCCGGGCGCTGCAGCAATATGGCTGCCCACTGCTCTGGGTGTGTGTGTGTTCACTACTGTGTGTGTGTACTTGGTTGGGTTAAATGCAGAGCACAAGTATGGGTCACCATACTTGGCCACACGTCACATCACTTAACATAAAAATACAATTACCCTGCCTCATTATTTGATGTATTTAGTTAATATATGTCTGATGGTGTATTATTTTGTTGCCTCATATGGGCAATTATGTAACTGCTGCATAGTTATTGTATTTATAATACAATGCATGTAACATTTATATGATGTTTTACAGTATAAACCCAGTAATATTGTAAGTGTTAGGCTGGAGAGCGCTGCAGAGTTGTATGTGTGTGCAGAAGTGGCTGTGCAGAGTGGAATTCAGGGTCAAAGAGATAAGGAAAAGACCACACTTTGTTGTTTAAAAGCTTTAAAAGCATTGTTAAGAAAAAGACAAGACATTGTTTGTTGTTAATGCTTTTTATTGGCAATGTGGTTTATTAAGAGAACAGAGTAGAGAGGAAGAAACATGTATTAGAAAGAGCAAGAGGGCAGAGTGCTTACCAGGAGGTGATGGGCCGGTTGCGGGACGAGACGCAGAGAACAGCAGAGGAGTCCGGAGGAAGAAGAGATAATGAATGAGCCTATTTAAAGAAGACATTGAGGGAGTGTCCAGTCTGAATGACCTCATTTGGTGAAGTCACAAATAAATATCCATGATGAAGACTGTGACATCTGATGCTGCTTCGGGACCACCTGAAGAGAAGTTCTAAAAAGAAAAACCGACAGACTGGTCAGTGAAGGAAAAGACATTCCAGATGCCAAGCAATTGTATGATTGTCTACTGAATGCCCAGACCGCTATACAGCTGTTCTACACTGATGAGGAAGCTGTGGGCAAAGCTGTACAGAAGATGAAAGAACCAGACCAGGAAAGATCATCTACAGAGATGTCAGCTGTCTCTGCTCTACTAAGCAGATTCTTGAGTGTACATGTCACAACACACAAAGGTTTGTGTTTGATGTTTTGCCCATCCTTTATGCCACCACTGAATGTGATGTTCAGCCAATCCTTTCTGACACCACTGAAGATCAACAAGCACAGAAAATGCACTCTGTAAATACAGGGGCCTAAAAGGCACACGGTATTGATACAAAATACTTCAGCTAAAATAATGTTGTTTTTTAAATAATATCTAAGTTAGTACTTGTTTAAAAACAATCACTTTAGCAAAGTTTGTACTATTTTCTGCTTATTTTGAAAAATAAAAGAATAAATTTTTGTTCAATAAATATACTGTCATTAAAATATGTTAATATAAAAAATATATTTTAAAATATTTAGCTGTCTCTGCTCTACTAAGCAGATTCTTGAGTTTACATGTCACAACACACAAAGGTTTGACTTTGATGTTTTTCCCATCCTTTATGCCACCACTGAATGTGATGTTCAGCCAATCCTTTCTGACACCACTGAAGATCAACAAGCACAGAAAATGCACTCTGTAAATACACTCAAATGTCACAAAAAGTATGCTTGTGTTTTAGTATATTTCTTAAAAGCTTAACTAAGCACATATTTATTATACTTCTAGTATACATTTAAAAAACATTCAAAAAATATTTTTAAAGGAGTAAAATTGTATTATAAATATAGGGTACAACGGGGCTAAAGGCCCACCTTAAGAAAAAATGTGCTATTCACTGCGCCTAAAATGTA